CCCCCCCGCCACTCCTGTCGGATCTGGATCAGCTTCTTGCCCTCTCCCCGTCATCACCACTGTGTGATCCTGATCAGCCCCCCCCCACACACACACACATACACTGTCAGTGCCCTTAAATGATCATCTCTCCTCCTTTTCCCTCCACCCCACCTCCCCAGTTGCTTCTATGATGTGTTCCAGATCCCACTTCTGCCAGTTTGCCTCTCTGAATGGACCCCAGCCACCTGGTCCCTGCTTCCCCAAATGCATCCACCTCCATTGTGACCAGTCTCACCCTTTGCTCTGCTCTGATCTGCCAGGTGCCCGTGTCCCTTAAATGATCATCTCTCCTCCTTTTCCCTCCACCCCACCTCCCCAGTTGCTTCTATGATGTGTTCCAGATCCCACTTCTGCCAGTTTGCCTCTCTGAATGGACCCCAGCCACCTGGTCCCTGCTTCCCCAAATGCATCCACCTCCATTGTGACCAGTCTCACCCTTTGCTCTGCTCTGATCTGCCAGGTGCCCGTGTCCCCCTCTCTTTTGGCCTTGGTCTCAAACCCCTGCACCCTCAGCTAGAGATTTCTTCATCCTGTTACAGTTAATGTGTGCTCCTTTATCTCTTTCCTGTGTGCACCTGGTGTCTCTCAATCATATACGTGTAATTTTAGATATCAAACTCCTTGCCACAGGGGCCTTTCTTCCAGAGGTATCTGCAATGCTTAGTGCAGTTGGCCCTTGATGTCTGACTGGGGCCTCATGCGGCCACAGTACAGATCCACCTGCCACCCTATCTCTCATTCAAATCCAGGCCCATGCTCTCCTGACAAATCATGAATTAAGAATCATGGAGAGGAGAGTATGTTTATAACAAGGTGCAGATGCTCTCCTGACAAATCATGAATTCAGAATCATGGAGAGGAGAGTATGTTTATAACAAGGTGCAGATTACACCACCAAACTGGGAGGAGCTCCAAGCCTGTTGGAGGCCAGGATTAGAATTCAAAAGGATCTTGGCAAAGCAGAGAATTGGTCTGAAATCAACAAGAGGAAATTCAGTAAAGACACAACTGCAAAGTGCCTCATTTAGGAAGGAAAAAATCAAATGCATAAGTACAAAATAGGGAGAACTGGCTGGGTGGTAGAAAAGGATCTGGTGGGCTCCAGTGGATCTCAAATTGAATCTGAGTCAACAGTGTGATGTATTTGTATAAAATGCTAATGTCATTTGGGGGTTCATGAACAGGAGTGTTGTATGTCAGACACAGAATGTACTGCTGTAGTCGGCACAAGTAAGGCCTTAGCTGGAGTTGTGTCCAGTTTTGGGTGCTGTACTTTAGGAAAGATGTAGACCAATTGGAGACACTGTTAAGGAGAGCAACAGAAATTACAAAAGGTGTAGAAAACCTGATCTATGAACAAAGGTTAAAAAAAAATAGGCATATGTATGCCTGAGAAAAGGAGAGAGAGAGAGAGAGTGTGTCGGGGGGAGGGGGACTTGATAATACTTTTCATTATATTAAGGGTTGTTATAAAGAGGATGGTGATCAATTGTTCTCCACGTCCACTGAAGATAGGCCAAGAGGTAATGGGCTTAATCTATAGCAAGGGAGATCTAAGTTAGCTATTAGGACTGTTTTTCTAGCTGGAAGGTTACTTAAATTCTGCAACAGATTTCAAAGGAGGTTGTGGAATCCCCATCATTGGTGATTTAAGAACGGGCTGGATACACACCTGTCAGGGATGGTCTTTCTAGGTTTACTAGGTCCTGCCTTAGTGCAGGAGGCTGGAATTGAAGATTTCTCAAGGTTCTAAATTTCAGTGATTCTCTTTGTGTTGGTTTTATCCCATCCCTTACCGTAGCGTCACCTGCAGGTAATGTTTGCAAACTTTCTGCCATGGTATTTCACTAACTTCCATCTCAGTTCCAGTTTTGACCCCTTTGGGGGAAGCATGCAGAGGGTTTACTTTCCCCTCACTGTGAACCTCTGCTAATGTAGCTTGTGAAAGGCCAAACTCCTGAATCAGTGGATGGAGTTGGTATTACATCCCCACCCCTTACAACCTGTGTGGCTGATCCTCACTGAGGCTATATCTACACTGTGCTGGTTTTGCTCTAGAAATATGCAAATGAGGCTAAGCGAGGAATTAATGAGCAGTTGCTTTTTGCTCAAGAGGCTGTTGCGCAAAAAACCCCTCTTGCACAAGAGCTGTTCTGCTGCATTTTTTTCAGGAAGAACGGCTCTTGCGCAAGAGGAGGGGTTTTGCACAAGAAGGAGCCATGTAGACGGCTCCTTTTTGCAAAGAAGCCTCTTGTGCAAAAAGCAGCTGCTCATTAATTATGCAAATGAGGCTCGGCGCTATTCCATGCTTAGCCTCACTTGCATATTTCTTGCACAAAGCCAGCGCAGTGTAGACATAGCCTGAGTGGTAGATTCTCTTTCTGAGAGGATACACTCTTTTTTCTTCTGTCATATCTAGACAAGGCTACAAATCCTCTCAACAAGGATCTGGACTGGGATAGCATCAATGCTTTCTGCGACCAGCTGAATAAAGAGCTAGAAGGGTAAGTACACTTTCTTCCCTCCCTCTCGTATGATGGCTCTCAACCTTCCCAGACTACTGTACCCTCCCAGGAGTCAGATTTGTCTTGCACCCCCATGTTTCATCTCACTTAAAAACGACTTGCTTACAAAATGAGACATAAAAATACAAAAGTGTCACAGCCACACTATTGCTGAAAAATTGCCTGCTTTCTTATTTTTACCATATATTAATCAAATAAATCAATTGGAATATAAATCTTGTACTTACATTCCCATGTATAATACATAGAACAGTATATACAAGTCATTTGGTATGAAACTTTAGTCTGTACTGACTTCATTAGTGCTTTTTATGTCATCTATTGTAAAACTAGGCAACTATCTAGGGGTATGTCTACACTACCCTCCTAATTCGAACTAGCTATTCCATGCCGTGTGTAGCCGCGCTGCACGGGGTTTGAACTGCCAGCATTTAAAAATGGCGCCGGCCGGCTTCATGCAAATGAAGCCCGGGAAATTCAAATCCTGGGCTTCATTTGCAAGTGTGGTATGCCTACATTACCCTCCTAGTTCGAATTAGGAGGGTAGTGTAGACATACCCTAGATGATTTGATGTACGCCCAGATGACTTCTGCATAGCCCTGGGGGTCCATGTACCCCTGGTTGAGAGCCACTGCTGTGACCGTTCCAGGTTACACATCTGGGTTACAAATGCACAGCCTTGTAAGCTAAACAGGATTATTCTGATTCTGTGCTTGGATCAGGGAGAACCAATTTAAGGGAAAACTCCTGTTTCAGGAAATGTTATGAAAGCCCAGTAGGTGGCACTCTTTATCTCTCTGAGGCAGCTTCTCCTCTTCAGCTCTCTCTCCGTGGGGTGGGGGGGGGTGTCTGTCTCATTGCAGGGGTTTTAGGTGGCTGAGGTGCCCAGTTCATGCCCTGCAGCTTTTCTAGCAGAAGTGTCAAGTGTAATCTTGCAGGAGGCTAAGGCTTTGTCTACACTTGCAGAGTTTTACCACTGTCTCTTTCACCAGCAATAGGGAACTGGTAAGAGAAAAGCACGGGTTTGTGTCTTCACTTACTTCCACAGGTGTCAGAAAGTGTTTATATTTACAGCACTTCCATGGCTGATGAGAGCAGTGCTCTGAGGGCATCTATCCTACAGTGCAGCTTTTGTTGTGGGAAGGAGAGGATTGCAGGGCATTCTGGGACCGTGCATAGCCCCCTGCATAGCCCCCTCTCCCCAAACTATCTTAGCGCTGCTGCAAGCAGGGGGCGGTTTGCGCTGTGGAGCAGGCATTGCAACTTAGCCAGATAAGTGAGCTCTTGCAAGGAAAATAGAAATGAAAGTTTCCAAGTTCCCGGGACTTTACAGGGGAGGGGCAGACATCTGTTTACCTGGCCTCAGAACCTGCCCAGAGATGCTGGCTTGAGTGGTCACCTCTGTGGGATATCCTGTAGAGGCTAAAAGCTTTGTAAATAGTTGAAACGTCCTCACTTGCACATCACTGCAAAAGAGCTCTATGGCCCTTGTGGAGGTGGTTTTCTTTTTGTGATGAAATTTCTGAGTTTTACTGCAAAAAGTCATTGGCGTGTGTAGATGCTTCCATGTGTTTAGGACTTTTTCCACTGTAAATGGCACTGTAGACCGGCCCATAGTTGTTTGTTCCTCCTTTGGCACTTGTTGGGCTGGAGCACATCTGTTTTCAAAGTGAGCTGTGGTTTGGTGTGTAGCGTGGCATAGGCATGCAGCCCTTCTCCACCTCAGAAATGTGGGGCGGGGAGGGAGGCAGGAGCTGGCGCACACAGGATGCTAGCTCTTTCTGCATGTACTGGCTCCTGTGGAGCTGCTTCCCCCCCTAACCGCTGAAATGTTCAACAGTTACACAATTACTTAACGAAATGCATTTTAACATCCCTAGTGTGGCGCCACTGTGTTCTGCTCTATGCCAAGTCCTCCCAGTTTGTTGTGTTGATGTTGATGCCTTCCTTTTTAAGGTGTGCTTTCAGTTTGTCTTTCAAGCTCTTCCCCTCTCTGTCCATGGTGTCGGGAGGGAGGAGGAATGGTGCTACTAGATGAGATGTAAAACTGAGGTCCTGGTTGCTTCTGACTCAAAGCTCTTTTTGTGAGCACAAGAGCCAAATTTCTACAAGGATAGTTACATTCTGCCAACCTGAAAATGCCTGTTTTTTTTTTTTTTTTAAAGTTTCACATTGAGAGACTGTTCCTCTCTTCTCTTCTTATGACTGTGCTGTGCCCCAACGCAGGGCAGCTGCATTGGTGGGGCAGTGAAGGATTTCTACTGAGATTTGTACAGGCCTCTGTGATCCTGTGTGATTGGAGATATACTCTAGGGCCCATCAGTTAACTAACAAAGTGGCTGCGTGCCTTTGAAACTAGCCTTTTGCCCCAAGCTCACTGAGGACCTGTAAGGACTTTGTGCGCATCCAGTACTGTGAGCAAAAGTTGTGCCCTCGGGGGACATCTCTTATCAACTAGCCAATTAGCCCGTCATAAGACAGGATTTTCAGGTCTCTCTTCCACTGTCTTCTCTCCTGAACCTCCTGTCTCTCTCTCTCTCTCTCTCTCTCCTACTACTGCCTCCCCCCTCTCTCTCTCAGCTCTCCTCC